AGAACGCGATCCGGATAAAGCAGCGAGCAGAGAGTCCCCAGAATCGTAAAACTCTTCATCGTCGCTCGACTCGGAAGAAGGAGGCGTAAGAATTTTCTTTTTGCCTTTCGAGCGTGAAGGTGCAGGATTTTTCTTCTTGTATTTGGTCTTCGAAGAAGTGAGAATTTTCGTCTTGCTTTTGGCCTTCAGTGGTGTAGAATTCTTGCTCTTGGCTTTCGCCTTCGACTTTGGAACGTCTAAATTGCGCCCCCCCTAATCGCGCTGAATTGGCAGATCGCGCTGAGGTGGCGGATCGCGCTGAGGTGGTGGATCGCGCTGGAATATCCTCGGAGATCGAAGGAGTGGTCCCTTGGACAGAGCCCGATGAAGCTGGAGGAGAAGAGAGAGCCGCGGTTCGCGAACGCTTGAGAGGAGGGTCCGATATCGGGGTAGACGAAGAACGCTTGCACCCGGGGGATGCCGAGGTAACGGGAACGAAATGACCCACTGGCGGTATTGGAAGTGATCCAGACGCTAGCTGGGCCAAGTGCGATCGAAGAGAGTCCCGATCACCGACGGCCCTATCACGCTCCATCTCGCAATCCGCGATCTCTCGACGTAGCTGGCCCAAGGCCACATCCTTGCGATTACTTTCCCCAAGGTGATAGTCGTGATTAGTTTGAAGCTTATCCAGCCGATTCTGAAGAGAAGCTTGCTGAAGTTGGAACCGTTATGTCAGAATCTGTTCAACAACGGCCAAACCCGTCGGTGTCTTTCCTGCGTATGTTGAGTCGCCGCATTAGCCTTGAACAGGGCGAATTTCAAGCTTGCGATTTTCTGGGATTGATCTTTTCGTTTGCCCAGTTCTTCCTCGAAAATTTCGGCCTTGTGGATCGCACGTTGGTATTGTTCTTGGAGCCGTTGGTACCGATTTCAAAACGTACTCGATTAGAGGAGGCGCTACGTCCCGGAAGGATTGAAGTTCACGTTTCAGCCGATCACCGCGCACCTCCTGCTCCCCCAACGCTTACTCCAAAGAACGATAGCTGTCCACGATGGCAGCTTGAGCATCCAAGCGATCATAGATCGCCGTAATTGAGGATGTCAAAGTTTGCCGATCCACCACCGGCGGTAACTCAATTCGCGTGGATGGGAGCAGAATTGGTGGTCCATCGGACCGGCCTTGGGTGGCACGAAATGGCTCTGATCCCGAAACGATCAATGTATTCATAGGAGGGACGGAGATGGAATCATCTGAGCTGGAGAGGGCCACAGATTTGGAAGCCGAAGAAGATGGGAAAGAATCCAATAAGAAGACCAAGACAATAGAGCAGAGACGATAAACAGCTAGATCGACACTGTATGTCGAAAACCAATGCAGGCGACGACTGTGGAGAAGCGAATGAGCCATATTTCGCAAAGTGTAAGTCGCACAATATTAAATGTGGCCCGCACCTTGTAGATCGACCGCGATCCGTCGACCGTGATCCGTCAACCAAGATCCGTCGACCGCTATCCGTAGACCTAATCCGTCAGCCGCGATCGGAGGTATGTGGTCCACGCATTGAGACCTGATTTTTCCGAAAGTGCAACACGTGGCAGTAGATCCTAGTCTACAGATAGGCAGATTCATAGGTTTTGGTATGTGATTGGGTAACATTAAACAGAGTTCGATTTTACTTCTAAGACACGCAAGCTTCTCTTCCGGGTGGGATAATTTTGGCCCCCCGACGACTCAAGAGCATCTGCTACGCCTAGACACAAGTGATATCCCTGGATTGTTTGGCCAGGGATTACAAGAATTCTCAACCAACAACTCCCCCTGCGATTGGACGCAGCACAACAGAAAAGGACAAGGTACAAGATCGCGAGACGGCTCAAGTATATCAAGTGGATCAAGTATCTCAAGTGGATCAAGTATCTACATTTTTGGACAAGGTGATCTCAAGAGAGATCAGGGTGATTCGGATAGAGAACCTACAAGAACCCTTCGACCGCGTGAAGATTTTCTGCGCGGTCACCCCCAAGCTATCCCAAACACAGTTAAGTTCAGCATCGACTCAAGTCCACCGAGAAGAGTGCTACCCGCCCTACCGACGGGTACACAAGGAAAGGAAGGAAAGTTGCACGGAAACGAAGTACCCCCTCCGATAATCGGTTGTCTGGGTGCCAGTGGAGAGTTGGGATCACATCATAAATTTTGTGATCGCCACTCCACCGCATCATCAGGTAGCATCAGCACCGGTGCCTCGGACAAGCTCTTCTTTACGGAGTCGAAGGCAGATTGATGTTCTGCATTACATATCCATACTGCGTCTTTCTTGAGCAAAGACGATAATGGATGAATTAGCTCAGCATAGTTCTTCGTATACTTATGCAAAATATTCACCAGACTGAGCCATTGACGTAATTCAGTTTGGTCCCTGGGCGTTGGCCAGGAACAGATCGATGATATCTTCTCAGGATCAGCGCGGACACCTTCCTTGCTGACGTAACAACCGAGTACTGGAATCTCGGGAGCGCAGAAGACACATTTCCAATCAAAGACGGGGGATCGTCATCGACCGCCTCACTTGTTTGCGGGAGCTCCTGCTCGACCGCCTCGATATTAATCGAGAATCTCTGCTCGTCCGATGTACTTGTACGCGGGAGCCCTTGCTCGACCGCCTCGAAACTGATTGGGAGCCTCTGCTCGTCCGATGTGCTTGTATGCGAGAGCCCCTGATCGACCGCCTCATTGAGAATCGGGAACCCCTGTTCGACCGATGTCTGTGTGTGCGGGAACCGCTATTCGAACGCTTCGTTCTTTGTCTCCGTCAGTGTAACGGAACATATTGCGCACAGAGGGACATCGCGCTCTCTGTGTTGACTACTAGTCGTGGCGAGTTCGTTCACGACCCTGACGTGAGGCCAATCGGATGAAGCGACCAGCAAATGAGTAAACACTTCACTGACGTCATAACCGCTTCGTCGTTTGACGGACCGAGATATCCAATCTATCTTCGGCTGATACCGTGACAGCCACGGTATCCCAAGTATGCAATCAAATGCATAGTTCATCTCGTACACCAAAAATTCGTCGTTGCTCTGGAAACCGTCGAAAGTGTACGGTAAAACCACTGTTTTACGCGGGACACGTTTTGGTTGTCCATCGGCAAGTTTGACAACGATGTCACCTGGACCTTCTCGGACCGTGACAGTCGATGGGAGAAGAGACAAACAGGATGCACGAAAGAAGTTTTTGGAAGCGCCAGAATCCAACAACGCTCGAAGTGGTCGCTTCATTCCAGCGACGATGAGACTAATAATAATCAGTCTCGAATCATCGCGCATGGTGGTGGCATTGAAGTGGGTGTGAATCACTTTGGGGCTTGGAGCCCGAGCTGCCACCTGAGTACTCGGGGCTCCATTTCTGCCAGTAGGGCGCCCCACGCCTACTGGAACCGCTCGTTTTTTGTGCGGGACCACCGACGACACAGCGTCTCCTCGTGAGACAGCTGTGTTCATCGTCACCGACGCAGGTGCACGACAGACAGCCGTACGATGGCCTGTTTTACCACAGCGAAAACACTTCATCGTGTTAGGATTGCGAATGTCGCGGCTTAATGATTTGCCGCGACCACGAGAGGACTCAATTGCATCAATTTCCATTGGCTCTGGGCCAGACTTCCGGGGATGTTGTGGCGCTGCGTGCAGGTACGACAACGCGACAGTGTAATCCTCACGAAGCGCGAGGGCAAATGCCTCCTCGAGGGACTTTGGCTCAGCACGTGTGAGGCAGTAACGCGTCATGCCCTCTTGCATACCAAAAATAAAGACATGGACTTGTGAAGCCATGTCAATTGGCTGCGTGGTAATGCACGAAGCAAGATGACGTGTCTTCTGCACGTAGTCACGCATCGACAGCTTGCCCTGTCGGAGTGAGAAGAAATCTGCACGCAAGCGAGATTCATCTTGAGGAGGCTCGAAAGCCAGTCGTAAGTCACGCTGGATATCGTCCAGCGTGGGGAACTCCGACTCATCTACGACGAGCTTTCCGAGAGTCTATTCCTTGGTTTTTCCAACAAGCCGAGACAGCAGGAAATTTCTTTTGCCGTCGGAGCGTCAATTGATCCTGATGCCATTGCAATATCCACCTCACGGAGCCAGCGATTAAGGGGGAGACGATCCGGACCATCACCGGAGTACGTTGACGTCTCCATCTTGATAGCGTCATGATGCGAAGTGCGCGAGGAAGTCAATACTCGCCGATTCGCTTCGGCGAGCTCGCGCACCATAAAGTCTTGAATGGCGGCACGTTGATCATCGGACGTCGCTGTGCTCAGCAGCGACGTCACAATAGTTCCACCAGACACAGCATGTAGTGCCTGCCGCTCCACCGAGGTGAGATGTGGAAAATTAGAATGCTCCAGCGAGACCGCTGGAGCCACCGAAGACTCGTCCATGTTCATCTCGAATCTGGGCATTGGAAGGACTACGAAGTGCTACCAGGTGTAACGGGCTAAGGACCCGTTACCGTCTTACATTAAAAGGGCGTTGAGGAAGCGCTCTTAATTAACTCGCAAATATAACTCTGTTTTAGTTTTGTTTTAGTTTTAATTCGCAGTAAGTGCGAATATGTTCCCTAGCTCATGGGAACCACTCAATATGGAAGTCAATTTATTATTGGCTAATTATTAAGTCTGGCACCCCAATAATAAACCAATAATAACATGACGCGCAGTATCCGCTAATCGGATACTGCCCTATGCCTACTTATGTAATTATGTATTAATCCTATAACTACTTATGTAATAGGTTGCCCCATTACAGCAACGCTCACGTAGCGCGTCGTCCAAATGACCAGCTTGTAAATGTGGAAGATTTTCAAGCTGTGTTAGCAACAACAACCGTAAAGCTACTCAAGATCTCGTCGGTAGGCAATTTGACATATAATACAGGACTACAAGACAATTGCGTATAGTTAACCCCACAATACGCACGAAATAACAAAAACAGAACACCTTATCATCACCACCCAAATGAGTGGTGGGCAAACATCGGCGCTGCCGCTTAGGCCGCCTCGACCTTCTGATCCTCCTGTCGCAGCACCGAGGACGGAGAAACGAGATATTGAAGCTGTCAAAATCAATGGGAGCATCCAGCCTACCACGGCTGGCGCGGAAGAGCACGAACTTGACGTGTGGTCAACTGAGGCAGTGACCAGACTTCGGCAGGAGATAACGGCTGAATCCAGAGCTTTAAAGGAACAAAAACGAGAGATTACCGGTATGTATCAAATTGCAACCTGTAAATACTCGCTGCATGCCTACTTTGCAATCAGGGCCATGCCGGAGGACGAAAAAGCGGTAATGGAAGCGTATTTGGGGCGAAGACTTGAACTTCCTACTCCTCCCAAATTTCTAAGCTGTACAGCTACAGCTAACAAGAAAGCGGCCCTGTTGTCACTTCTTCAGACACACATAGAGGCAACGCTCATCGTCGATGTACCAGCTCACTTTCGACTCGGTAAAGGTATACCGCGCCAGTCGGTACTAAGGGAAATGGCAGCAAGCAATACGACTACGGCTGAAGACAAGGCCAAAATGAAGAGATTTCTCTAAGCTGCACAAAGAGTGATTTTTGATGAGGAGTACACTTTTTTATTTACCTTCATGTCCAAGAAATTGGCTGTCAGCTGGGTAAATGAAACTTCTAAACTTTGCGTGATAGTCTTAATGGCTGTAGCGGAAAGAGCGATGATCTGCCCTCCGCCGTTGCTAGCTCGCAATTACGCTATTTGGGCATTGGGACCGAAAACTTGGACGCGCTACATCTCATTCAGGTTTTTGCAGACATAACTAAAGGGATAGTAGATGATGTACGCCACCCTGGGGTTCCAGGGATGACGTAGCTAGAAAATACTTACTGGATTGTAGTTCTTATTACACGGGTCTGTCCAGTCCAAATATCGGGGATCACTTCCATCAAGTTGGCACGAAAATGGTGCTTCTACGCCACTTTTAGAAAATGCAAACATCTCCCTGCACTCGCTGTTATAGTCCAGCGCACCTTCAAAGCAGATGCAACGTCAAGGACACCAAGCTCGGGAAAGCGCGTTCGCGCTGACAACACGAATATATTGGACGACACGAAAAAAATTGTCACCGCATGCGGATTTACCAGACTGCACTCAGCTATCGGAACTTTAAACTCGATTGATGGCACTTAATTGCCGGAGACAATCGCAGGGTGTGGGGACGGCCTACGGGCGCCGGTATTACGGTCGTAACAACGGTTTCTACCGCAACGTACAGGACGTGGGAAATGCGACGAAACTGTCCGGAAATGACGGTAACACGTGCGACTCGCTCATCCCGCAGAGTTGGGCGTTCCAGGAAGCGTGGAAGTAATATTAGGGATACAGTGTGAGTTTCTGCAGCGCATCCGACACACCCACAACTCTCAGTAGCACAGAAACATTCCTAGGAACAACACGGACTTACTATTGGAGCCGAGGTGGCTAGAGAAGCGGTAATACCTTCAGCTTAAGCGCACAGCGACGTCAAGACCCGACACGAGTAGTACTCACAGGGTATCGGGTCGGAGAACTGCAACAACGGCGGCGGCGCGATATAAAGAGACAAAGGCCATATACGAGGAGCTCATGGGTGATTTGGAACAATCAGACAGCGAATTAGAAGTGAAAGAGAGCCGCAGTGATCGGCAGACGGGGCAGGATCCGACGAAAGTGAACGGCGAAATGGATGGTAGCGGTGCTATTTCATCTGCCTCAGCTGGATTTACACGCAACAGTGACGAAAAAACGACTGACGTTGACGAGGCCTTCCAGCAGTGTAGACACAATACGAGGTGGCACCCAACATTCAATTATCTCTGGATTCTCAATGGATGGATGCAGACAAAGACAGACCAATAGTCGAAACGGCAGTTTGTGATGATCGAAATTATGAGATTTACCACGACAGGGATGTGGTTATGGTTGCGGAAACGCCTCAAGAAGGGACTCTTTAATCTCGACCTAGAAACGAAGACGGGGAAGTGGCCATCGAGAAGGTTGTACATCCATTACTTGATGACGCGGTGTCATGTCAGTAGTGAAATGGGTGATGAAAGGGGACATGAAAGGGGAAGCCAGTATCAGTTCCGACAGACGGGCAGTGCCTTTTCATGGCTTTCCATGCATCGCTTGACAAGGTACAGACCCGCTCTTTCATAGTGGTAGGCGCTAACCTGACTTCAGCGAACACCGTCAAACACGATGTTATTGATATCTTACTGACCAATTTGCGGTGCCATGTAATGTTAAGTTTGATAGACCCCCAACAGAAGTAAGGGCATTTTTACCCAAACAGACCTGTTCTAGCTATACAACAGCAGCGCTTTTTACGCACTATCTTCACATTCGGGATGTTCCAGTAGTGCGTGATGCCCCTACGGCATGTTGGGAAGGGCCGCATGTGCTGCGAGCGATGGCGTTCTACCTAAGAGAACCGACATATGTCGGGGATGTGGCAGCAAATGACACAGCGTATGTACCTTTGCGACGCTAATTTTGGATAATGGGGACACACAAGACACAGGACAAGTTGAGATGGTTTCGGATGATTTATGAGGATATTCCTGAAAGCATGCTTCAATAATTCCGTGTTCCCAGTTATGATGCTTCTAAAGCATGCGGAAGGTCATTTTTATGGCGTGCGACATGGGGATATTTTCTTTGATTAGCATGCACATGCTGGCTCTAAATATGCGTAGCAGACTCGACCGAGCTCACGATACGACAGGCTTACTCGTAATGCCGTCGGCAGAATATGATCTAGAATCAGTTCGAGCCGAGATAACGCTCGAAGAGAAATTTATGCTGGATGATATGGGCGTTAATATGTACGTAATTGAGTACCAAGACGGAGAGATGTCACATCTTACAGCACTGAATTCGATACAGGATACCTCTTCCTGCTTCAGCGCGGATACACCCCGATGTTTAAAATCGGATACTACAGTATGCTGAACTTTCAAAAATGGGCGCTATTGATGCCCGCATTGCGACTCGCCTTCACTCGGTGAACGAGGATGTCTTCGCGGACTTGCACGCATGGAAGGCTACTAGCATGGGCTACCTGCACTAGACGAGGGGAGGCAATCTTGTGCGCAAGCGAGGGATTGGCTGGTTAATAACCCGGCCATATCGCGCCAAAGTATGGCTTTCCTCCGCTATCCACAGCTGGCAGCACAAGCCTGCAATTTCCAGCAATTTGAAGAATAGGGCGAAGTGGAAGCATATACCCAGCAGCTTCAGATGATAGTTCGTATAGAGGAGGATAAGGAGAATGACGGCAGAGCACGCGCCTGTGCGCCTGTGCGCCGAATAGGCGGCACTTTGTCGTACTGCTGAATAAATGGAGGCGGTAGTGTGTGTGGTAAAGTGCCTGTTTGAGATATGAAAACCTCAGAAGCCAGTTGGGTTCGTAGTATAAAAGACCGTGTATCAGAGAGAAGAGACCAGAGAGACGGGGGCCTCGAGGTGAAGCATCGTTGGCGGAGAACAATTTGCAGTACCCACAAAAGAGAAAGTATCAGGGTAGCAATTATCCGGTACCTTCCTAATCGGTCGACCTGGGTCTCTCGTTGGCCGACCCGGCCCCTCATCGTTCGATCTCGGCCCCTCGTTGTTATACCCGGTACCTCTTCGGTCGACCGGTTCCCTCGGGGTTTCAGCCACTCCTGACCAATCAACACAAAGATTAGACTAGTCGACGCAAGGAATTAGAGCTTCAGGCAAGGATAGAGTAAAGGAGTTAAAAGGATAGGACTATATTAAATACTACTCAATTTGCGATCTACGTGGCATGACTCCGTCACCCAAGAAGAACTTGCTCTAAGCTACTCACTGTTCCGAGAAGGGATACAATTTAGCCCCCCGTTGAAGACAGTTGCGTAGCGAAGTTCAAGTGCGAATAGAGCTCCAGGATATATTTGGCCTGTGAGCTCGTTCGAGTAGCAACACCCCCCAAGACCCGCTATCGGAAGCGGTCTCTCTCACCTCACGGTCCGGGAGCAAAGTAAAGGTCAGGTGGTTGATACCCCTGAAACAAGAAGTAAAAGGCCAGGGAAGACAAGATCCCTGAAGAACTTGGATCTAAGCCCACTCTCGACAAGGTCGATCGAGTGGCCACCTACCGGCCCACCGAGTGAAACATATCCACTCGAGGCCCCCCAGGTCTACCTCTCTCAAGAAAGACGTCCATATCCTCACCAAGTCTTCCGAAGAGTGCAACGCGCCAGCCGACGTGTACACAAGGTGAGAGAAGGTTCATACATGGCATCGGGGTATTCCCTTCGACAATTGGCAGTCCGGCATAGTGAGTGGTTGTGGGATCTCATCATACAATTTTGAGAACTCACTCCACTACTAGTGCTGGCTAGAGATATTTTACGGTGGGACAAGCTGAACACCTACGTAGATGACTCTCTCCTGCGATCTAGACCGCTTGGGATACCATTGGACCACTGTCTTACCTTACGCGCTCTACCTTACACTATCCGAAGGTGGTGCGACATCGCGTGCTCGCGAACGCTCTCGCTGTCTGGCATCGTGAATTCGAGCAAATACGACAACTTTGCATGTCTATTGCTGCCAAGAAGTACTGGAGTATTGCAGTACAGTTACGCAACGCGTGACTACACCCTCCTCCACGATAAACACCGGCGGGGGGAGCAGTCGGCTGCCCACTAGTAAAACAGGTCTATAGGCCACAATCGTCCCATAGTGGTACCACGCAAACCACAATGGCGGCGTCCTACCCGTCGTAGCAAGGTGAAGCGAGGGAATATGCGTTAAATCTGGAATTTGGTTGACATCGACGGATTTTTGTATCACGGAGGCGAGTCTCGGCCAAACAGACGCGCGCGGCCCCGAGGTCTTTAAGAAAAACTGTGGATCAAATTATTGGTCTACTACCACAAAATGTCTGTGAATTCGGTTCTGGAGACGCAGATACGGACCTATGGACCTATTAATCGCGTCTTTAAAGCGTAATCGCTCAAATGAACATTACGATGCTATCATGATGCAGGAGACTCATGTTGCCCAAGCCAACAATACCAGGTGCATTGCTCTCGACACAGTCGATTGAGCCCAAGAAACCCTGGGCCCGAATGAAGCATATCCACTCGGTGACACTCGGGGACCACCAAGTCCCTCCATACAAGGACCAAGTCTATAAGTCTTCTGCGTCTAACGAGGAGCAAGACCAGCTAAGCCGACGGGTACACAAGGTGAGACCCAAGTTGGACGCGACACGGTATCGGGGTACCCCCTCCGTAAGTCGGCAGTCCGGTGCTGTGTGTGTTTGTGGATCTCCTACGTCGTTGAGGTTCCACTCAACACAATCTTCTACCAAGCACAAAAGAATTCTGGCTGGTGTTTGGTTCTCCTTCCGTAAACACGTCAACCAATCTTGGCAATCCAGTAGTTGTGACTTTCGAATCTGGTGATTCTGCACCGATCGTAGTTGGACTCTTGCCGATCGTGATATACCCATACAACGCATTGTCTATAAGTCGCTGATAAATCAGTGGAGCGTTTTTCAGCCCAAAC